TTCTTGTTATTTGTGGCTCATCTGTTGGGATTGAGTGGTTGAAATTGCTGATTTCAATACTCTTTTTTTTTTTTTTTGGGTCTTATTCCAAATATATTGGTTAGGGTTTTGGGAATGTTTCTGAGGATTTGATTAGTTGGGTCTATTTAGGACTTGGAAATGTGTGCTCGGAGACCTAAATTGAAGCAGGTTATTGATCTTATGTCTTAAGTTTGGGCTGGCTACTTATTCTGGTGGTTTGAAATGTTATGTCTGAACATCTCAATCTCAATTTTGTTGAAACGTTTACTTGTTAGGGCATTATAGGATAGTTGTCTGCACGGGTAGGGAAAAAGAATCAAATTTTGACCAGAATATCACTTGTTTAGGGTGTTTGGCTGAGTAAAGAAAATGGAGGTAACCTTTTTTATTAATGAAGAAAAGTGTGATTCCAACAATTTAGTGGATCTCCAGCTGTGACGGACCAAATGCTTGCTATATGATTTGAGTAGTAAGAGATTGTGGGATGAAGTCTACTTGTCCGCCCAACTTGAAGTTTTCTTGGAGGTCACTGTGAGAAACTCTGGATAGCAATGCCACTTCTATCACTTGATTTAATCTTTTTTCTATGTACACTTGAGATTTTAGTGTTTATACATTAGGTGGTGTACTACCTGTTGGGGGTGTACTTCTATTGGTGGTGGGTACATCATAGAAAATCTTACCAAGAAATTTCTAAGGGATTTGAGTTATTTCTACTGGAAGAAGAAGATGACTTCAGTGCTGGTGATATGGGATGGACAGTTGGTTCTCATAGTGATGAGGGTTTCTGATGAAAAATGTTACACATATATGCATATATTCATGGTTGTCCAAAAAAAGATCTAGAGTTGCAATCGATACAGACTGGACCAATTTTAAATGACTGTTTAGGGAATAGTTTGTTGGCTTGGTTTACCTTTTGGGTTCATTGTGCGAGCATATATTATATTAATGAGAAAAGGTTTGGTATAAATTTTCGTTGTGCTAGCTGGTTGGAGACAACGGAGTGCAGCAATGTTTTGGATGTTTGTATCATGATCTGTTTTTAATGCGTAAAGTTTACTTTGTACTACCTGTTACTAGTGTTTGTATTGTTCATGCACTTTTCAGAGTTGGTCATTTTTGTGGTTGCTCACTTATTTTCTTTATTTGACATTATCTGTTTCATAGTGTTGAAATTGATGGCTCATTGGGGGATGCAGAGGGAGTTAAGGAATCTGGCTCAAAAAAGAGGTACAAACTCGATTGTTCTCATCAAATAAATCACAATCTGTAACCACTTCAACTCCAAAAAGTTTGTTCTCATTGACTCTTTTTTGGGCATTATACCTTTTCATATTTGGCTATGTTCTGAATGCCTGAGCTCCTATGGAGGATTCTAAACTAAATTTTATCATGAGGTCTTCAGTCACTAACAAGCGTTGCTTACTTGCCATCATAAACTATTGGTTTTAGATGAAGAATTTTGAGCCAATATCATTTCAGTTGGTTTAAATTATTTCAGTTTTGTGTTAAAGCATTTCTTGTCATTTGTTGACAAAGTATCATGTTATCTTCAAAATCACAACTCAGATACTATTATGTTAATATTATAGTGAGCTGATCAAAGTTAGTAAATTTATTTTGTACTATCTGTTGCCTTTTTCTCCTTGCAGGGTCAGAACTGAATCATGCAGTGGATCTAGTTCCAAGGCGTGCCGGGAGAAGTTGCGAAGGGATAGGCTAAACGACAAGTATTCTTTTTGTTCTCTCTCCTTTCCCTCTTTTTCTGTCCCCCCTTCCCTCCCCTTCTATCTTCCCCTCTCTTTGAGGCAGACTTCTTTTATGCTTGACATGAACCAATAATAGGTTTCTGGAATTGGGCTCTATATTGGAGCCTGGAAGACCACCCAAGACGGACAAGGCTGCTATATTGGTGGATGCTGTCCGAATGGTGAATCAGTTACGCGGTGAAGCCCAAAAGTTGAAGGACTCAAATTCAAGCCTCCAGGAGAAGATCAAGGAATTGAAGGTAAGCCTTTGTTTCTTTTAATTGAAAATTTGAGGATTACTTGTTAGAAACCTTGAATTCTAGATGGTTTCTGCCCTTTTGTCTACCTGTTAGATATGGATAGAACTTAGATACAAAAATTTCTAACACCACACAACCCACCCCCACATCCCCCCCCCCCAAATGCAGGCAGAGAAGAATGAACTTCGTGATGAGAAGCAGAGGTTGACGTTAGAGAAAGAGAAGTTGGAGCAGCAACTGAAGGCGAGGAATAC